TTTTTTCTTTGAAAAGAAAATTTGCGTCACTGAAATCGACAATGTTCAGCCAATGTTGAAATCAACAACTTGAACATGCCAGAGAACCAGTAGCGTTTGTGTGTGTATGTAAACTTGCGTTGTTGAAATCGACAACAAAACAGCCATGGGAGTTAGTCAAAAACAGTCAGTGAAACGGATGCGTCACTGGGCGTGTTGTGTAGCATATAACATCTGGAAATAAAATCCCGCCACGGCAACAGACGTGAAAGAAGGTGACAATTGTTGACCAATGACCAGTTTACACCTCGACATTCACAACTGGCCGAGTTGTGCATATTTCTCTTGGCCGAGTTGAAATCTGGCCGAGTTCGGTTGTATTCCCCTTATCGTTGATGTTTTTAAATTCGGTGGCTGACTGTGTTTGAAAGAATTTGAGGAATTCCTACTGAACGTGTACTCAATTGTTACCAATTCTATCTAACTCAATCAACACTCGATTGTTAGTATTGTTTGAACTTTCAATAAAAATCATTCGCGGAACTATGCGGAATCCTCTGACCGCGAATGCTGACCGCGGTGACCACATACAATGACGCTCATCGTCATTTTGCATTGGTTTGACTGTTTGTCAGTTCGATTCTTGCAAATAAAAACATGTGTGCAATCTACGTTGGCCTAATACTTACCCATACATCAGAATAAATGCTTACAACAAGAAATATTAAATCATCTCTACACTTACTTGGAATTTACAATGATGCAAGCAGCCATTTTAGATATTAAAATAAGGCTATTCTATTGACGAACAGTCCTCCCCTAGCTTCCGGTTTATTTTAGGAGAACACGTCATAAAATGTAGTGTAATAATAATAATCATCTTCAATACTTAATACCTAATAAATTATTGTATATAATAAAAGTATAGGGAATTTATGTTTGTTTATTTCAATCACTTATAATGCAGCCCTGCGTGTATAAAACAAATTGTTCAGGGGGTCCCTCTTACCGACACGGCATCAAGAGTTCGGATAAAGAGAGGGCGATAATCAAAATGGAGATGGAAGACTGTTCTCCGTCGTCGGTTCTTTTTCAAGATGTTACGAATTCAAAGACAGTAGTTCCTCCTATTATACACGCGTGTATGCAGGGTAATGCCGACAGACTTATGCAGCTGTTGGACGATGAACATGACCCAAATCAGCGAGATACTCGTGGAAGGAATGGCGCTCATCTCGCGGCTTGCAGGGGAAGTGCTAAATGCCTCGAAATTCTATTCGAACATGGATGCGATGTTCGGGCCGCTGATAATCTAGGAAATACCCCATTACATTTCTGCGGTCACGTCGATACTGTTAGGTTTCTCACATGCCACGGCGTGCAAGTGAATGTTACGTAAGTAATCATTGAGCAGTTTGTAAACATTTTTTTGCATATTTCATGTTGTGGTTGGAGCGCCCTCCACATTTTGATTAGTCTAGTCACAGCACAAAGGTATGTATGGGGGTCTAAAAACTAACTCTGCGACGTGATTGTGCGACTCGTCGAATGTCGATTATTGCACATTGAAAAAGGATCGCAGTGTCACTCTGC